GGTAAACACAGCCGGGCAGCGCCGGCAGTAAAGCTGTCAGCAGGGCAGGAGCTGGCCCCGAGGAAGCAGGAGAGAGCGGTGAGAAACGCTGAACTGGCTGCTGACCTCAGGGCTTCGCACCAGACACGACAGATTTATCGTCCCTGGGAGGGGAAGGCCGGGCCGGGGCAGCAGCAAGTCCTCGCTCAGGCACCAGGGGAAAAAACAAGCCGGGAGGCAGCGATAACCCCGGCTACGGCCCCGGCACGCTGCTGGCAGAGAGCGGCGGCACCGTTACCGGCTGGCCCTGCTCTCGCAGCTCCCATCAGGGCTTGGTCTTGCTGTGCCGGTGATGCCCGAGGCCAGAGGGGACACCTGCCACCAGTGCCCAGTGCTCGGTGCCAGCCTCTCCCACCATGCGCTGCCCTGCTCAGCAGCCCAGCAGGACGCTCCCATCCCCTGGGACCCCACCCGGCGCTGCCACAGCCCTTCTTGTCGAGATAAGGAGGATGAAGGAAAGCAGATGACGTGGCCGGGGGGAGCCGGGAGGGAGGCACAACCGCAGCACAGGCTGGGATTTCAGTGCCTCCCCCTCCTTCCTGCCTGCCACCCTGTTGCCAGGCCCCAAAGCCAGTGCCCAGCCGGGGACAACGATGGTGTTTCTCCCATTGTAGAAGGGGTTGCTTCTTGAAAACACAGGGAGCAGAAACATGATCTGCATCAGGGCTGGGGCCAGGTGCTGATGCAGAAGACGCAGAGGCCCGAGGACTGACAGAAGTTTATTCTGGCTATTCCCGTACAGGGCAGCAATTTCCCCATTTTCTACACGCCAGCCCAAAGCCACCATCACACTTGGAGCTCAACAACGGAAGCAGGGCCAGGACTTCCACCTCCCCCTGTCCCCTTTCCTCGCTGCGAAGCCTGGGGATGATGCAGAGAGGGGTTCCCCCAAGATCTCCACCGCTGCTCAGGCTCCTGTGGGTGTAACGCAGCAGCGTGGTGCTGTGGTTGGGGTTTGCGAAGAGCCACGGGAGAGCTGTAAGCAGGACGGCAGGTCCTCCTGCTGCAGGCAGTTAGCCTGACCCCAACCCTACGTCACTCAGACCCCAGTTTCTTTTATCTTCACACCATGGAAGAAACCAAACCTAAAGAGATGTGGATGGCACGAGGCTGAGAAGGTTTCGTGGTTCAGGGGCTGGGACAGGCCGAGAGCTGATGAGTTTCAGACACACTCCACCTCCAAAGGACGGTTCCCTGCCCGCTCTGCCACAAAGAAGGAGGTCTGGGTGCTGTGTCTTGAGCGCATCCATGAGGTGGGCAAACCCTGACCCTCTGGAGGGCCCCGGGATGGTGAAGAGCAGCAGCGGGCACAGCGTATTGCCCAGTTACGGCTCGGTGCAGGACAGAGGCCAGTGGAAAATGTGCAGGTGACAGGCGAGTCCCCAGCATGCTGCTGCGGGACACAGTCCCCCGGCAGCCAGTCCCAGCCCCAGGGACAGTCGCTCCAGGGCACCGCGTTTGCCCAAACAACTTTATTAACTCTTTTCCGGGCGGTTCCTGTTCAGCACGGCCCGAGGGGCGAACTCCAGCTTGTCCTTCAGGCTCACCACCTTGGTCAGGTCTTTGCCAGCGATCTCCTGCAGCTTGCGGTCCTCCCGCTGCTCCGAGATGCTCTTCTCCTCCTCGGCCGTGGACGGGGGGTCGCCG